ACCCTGGATGAACAGACAGGGCGAAACACCAATGCTGCTTTTTGGGCTTATATAGCATGAAAATTACATACGATGCAGGGAATATAGCACATGGGGCAAGCATCAGCTTTCCCTTTGATGGGCGGAACATTCTACTTTTATTGGCTGGTGAATGAGGAGGTTTGAGCCTTACGACGGAAGTTCCTGACTTCCCTGAACGGTTTTGCTGATCGGTACGACGTATTTTTCGCTTTTCATGGGAATTATTTATGTGGGATTCGTAGGATTGGTTGGCTTTTTACTTTTGTCGCGCTTGCTTGCTTGTTACCTACCTATCTATGTGATGATGTAGGTAAATGGAAGGAAGGGTCGTACAGGAATCACGACATGCATGCATCGGTGTGCTGTATTACAGTTCGCTATCTCCATTTCTCAAGAGGCATGTGATATGTATGATAATACATCGGCACAAGAAATCAAAGAATGAACATGAAGATTCTTTCTCAGCTAAGATTGAGGAGCAAGAAGGGAACTCTCTGTATAAATTACTTGATAGAGATTTATCGCTGCAGTTTCGATCCACTATCGTACATATAGAGGATGGATGGACGGTAGAGGCAGTGAAGCACAGGTCTTTCTTTACTGTACAGCACAGGATGCATACAAGCGTGTGAATATACTTTTAAGTTCTACTAATCCCAAGTTGACCCTCAAATAGACCCCAGGGCTAATGCACTCACATACCATACGTCCAGAGTAGGTATGTAGTTAGGGACGAGTATCGCCAACCTAGAGATATCTATTTTCCCATTTTCCCATTTTCTTCCCCTCGCACCTATCAATCACTCAACTCCCACTCCCGAGGTCCGACTGAAATTGGAACATAAAAATTGAAAAAGCCATTTTATTTATTTGTACACGCGATGTAAGAGGTAAGATCTTGTATTTTTTGCATGGTCCATTGTCGCTCGTCTTATCTCCTCTGTAGTACATACTTTTCTATCCTACCTACCTACCTACCTACCGGCTGCTGCGCTGGACTCATGCTCATGCATGAAAGGTTGAAACTCGCTCGCTCTCCTGTCCCTTGCTATCTCCATCTTTATCCTTGTTTCAAGCGCGTCATGTTATGCTTCGTAGGTACTGTAGTGTGTAGTGTAGTGTGTAGAGTAAAACATAACTTTGGTTCTATGTATATTGATTGTACATACCTAGGTACTCGGAAACATGGCATATGTATGTACAAACGCGGAAATAGCTATCTGATATGTTCATGATGCCGGGATATGTATACTGTATCTACCTATCTATCTGTATCTCTCTAGGATAATCAACTCACTTTATTAATATTGATATTGGTATGGTAGTGATATCTCACCGGAGGAAATAATGCGGATCGCATTTTTTTGATGCCAAGCGTGGGAGCGGAGGAATAACAGATCACGCACTTGTATCAAATTGGACATGCGAGACCAAGACCCGAAAGAGGATATTTGTTTGTTGGGAGACGGTTCTGAAAGTACCTAGGTAAGTAGGTAAGGAAGGAGAAGAAAAAACTGGTAGAAAGAATACAAATCCGGTACGTACTCAACGCAGCGCCGCACCAAACCAAAAATTTTCATTATTGAAGCGGTGAAGATTGGGATTTGAGAATCTACAGATGATGTGCACCAAGGAAAGAGAAAAAAAGGCTGCCTCATTTGAGATTGCGCGAGGGGTATGCGCGTATAATTGGATCCTGTTGATATCATATCCATCACCGTGTGTGCCAACGAAGCATTTTACTTCGTCGGTTTGGGGTTTTCATTACGCTTTTCTTTCGCCCGGATACTACTTGCTTGCCATATGCTATGTTCCTGCTTCTTCCTACCTGACCTGAGTGACACCGTCTTGTGCCCCTGTTGATGAAAAATGTGGCCACGAGACCTAGTTTATCTTTTATCACAGATGAACAGCGTTTAAATCTTGTGCGTCGCGATACTGGAGGTTGTTTTGTGGAATCCTGTTGGTTGGGTGGTGGATGGAGGAGATGGATTGATGGAGGGAAAATGCTGTGGTGGTGCAATTATGACAGGGTGAGTGGGAGAGAAATATGCTTTTCGGCGAGTAAAAAGTGTGCAGTGTTTCTGTGCACTGGTACTGGGCAATTGCTTGTGTGAATGATGAGGTGATGAGACAAACTGTTGGTCTTTCTCCCGGTCTCTTCCTCTGCGGGAATTGGGAATTGGGTTTACTCGGCCTCAGACTCTGATCGGATGCGGTGTTGTGAGAGGTTACCAATGGATCTTTGGGTATCGCTTTGGCTTTTGCTTTTGTCCCAATGAATGAATATACAGCCCCCCCGAAATAAAAAAACCCAATATCATTTGATTATATAGTCCCAGCATCCCAATGCTTACTGACGTCTATGTTTCCCTTTGAAGCAATTGACCATAATCTCGCGATTCTAATCTACTTTTACCTCATCCCTATACCTATTGCTTCAAGTGCATTCACATACTTATACATATTTGGAGCTTTGCTTTAGATTTTGCGTTGGCATCTCCATATCTATCCATATCTCCTCGTACATCGTGTACCTTCTGACCTAGGTATACCCATATAAATATAAACAAAGCGTCAACGACAACAAGGCAAGACAAGAAGGGTTTATTGACAACATTCGACTTTGTCCCAATATTTTCGAAAAGAAGTCGGAATAGGATCCTTCGTTGCATTATTTGTACCCCGCTATCCACCTCCTCTTGCAATATCCTCTACTTTCCTTCAGCAGAAGTGCGAATCACATTTATATCGAATGACTTGTTGAATACCCTGTTCTGTTCCACCGTATCCTAGTAGTTCGGCACCGACAAACGCTTCAACGACAAGAGAGGAAGAAAGGCCAAAGTTGAACAACAATCATATACAGAAACCCCAGTTTTCAACGCACAAGGCGGAGTCAGCAAGTATCTATTTGCAGCAATCGAAAGTTGGAGATCATTCTTCGACTCATTTTTATCTCGGCTTGCAAAGAAAAGGGACTTTTACTACCGCAATCGATAAGGAAGGAACAAATAGTGTTAGTAGAAAAAGAATTGGAAGAAACAGCAAGGGGAATATATTTCGAAATTGGGCATTTGAAAATTGAATTTTGGGGAAATTTTAATAAAACATCTCGATCAAGTAAGATTGTGGATTATTATTTTCATTCATTTTCTTCAATAACATACCTAGGTAATGAACGGAACAACTAGGTGTTTACCAGTTATTAATTACATTTCCAACTTCAGTCGTCATCTCTGTTGGAATTGAGGATTGGCGCATGCATGCATTGGCTGCTGACTGTATGACATTCGTTCAGGGCAATCAATCGACATTACACATTACATAGGTATTAATAATAACAGATAATCAATCTACTGTAAGCTTAGCAGTTCCAAAGGCATTAGCATTAGCATTAGCAGCAGCATTAGCATTAGCAGCAGCATTAGCATTAGCACCAGCATTAGCACCAGCATTAGCACCAGCATTAGCAGCACCAGCACCAGCTCCAGCTCCAGCGCCAGCACCAGCGCCAGCATCAGCACCAGACTCCACTTCACCATCTACCCATCTACCCATCTACCCATCTACCTTAGCTAGCTAGGGCGACCTATAACTTGTTAGTGTTTAGTGTTTGGCCAACAGACAGAACCACTTCTACCCGTAGCTTGGGTCTCGCTAGGTACACTTGCACTATTTTATACGGCACCTTTTGACCACCCAGGGATTGAACGAACCACTTTGAGCCACCAAAGTCATCTACTCAGTTATTAGGACTTTACACTTTAGTGGCTAACACCACCCGAAACCTTGAAGAATTTTCATTTTCGGTACGTGCCTTAGACTTAGGTACTATTATCTAGGTTGTGAGGGTATTAGGTTGTGAGGGTATTAGGTTGTGAGGGTATTAGGTTGTGAGGGTATTAGGTTGTTAGGTATTATCTATCATCGACGGAGTATTATTACCTGTTATTTAACTTTGAACGGGAATAAGTTTAATTTCCAACATCCAACACCGCCAACCAAGGAGGAGAAGGAAGCATCGGGAATCTGTTGGTACTCAGCAAGGTTACCTGCTGTACCTGGAAAGGAAAAAAGAGAGAAGAGAGAGAGGGGAAAGGAAGAAGAATCATCATCATCATCATCATCATCATCATCATCATCATTCAATCATCTTCTCCTCATTCATCCATTCATCCATTCATTCAATTCACCACCACCACAACACACCATTACCACTCATTTTGTCACTCCTTTATTTCCCAATTTGTGTGGTATTACCAAAATTACATTCCTTCCAGACGATACCAAAACCAAAACCAAAACCAAAACCAAAACCAAAACATCGAATCTTCTTTTCTATTTTACTGCTCTTTTACCTTTTCATTACTCGGAATAATTCAAAACCCCCAACTCAGTTCAATTCAATTTCATTCAATTTGAATTCGAATCCAAACCTTACCACATCTTCGGAACCAGAGATCCAATCAAGCACAAATCAATGCTTGCTGCCCTCTTTTATTAAAACCTCTGAGAGGGGAGAACAACACACCAACAAACATTTATTTGCACAATTTATTGTTCAATCTCTTTTTTCCTCTTTCACTCCTTATTCTATCCCTCATTCCATCCATCCATTTGTCAATGGTCAAGGGGTGAGATTGAAATCAAGGAAGAAACTCATAAAGTAATTCAAGGGCAATTATTATTACAGCAATAATTAGCAGCAACTCAACTCAACTCAACTCAACTCAACTTCAACTACAACTACAACTACAACAAAACTCCATGCAGCTAGCTCTCTGCACACACTAAGCAACTGCACGATACCGAATACCGCCATCCCCCAGCTTTTTCCCTGCAGGCATTAGATTCTTTGCGAACATCACCCTAAAGAATTTCCCATTTGCAACTACCCGCACTATCTGCACTCCCTGCACTCCCTGCACTCCCTGCACTCCCTGCACTCCCTGCCCTCCCTGCCCTCCCTGCCCTTACTTACCTGCACCACCTGCGGCACCACAAAAACGAAAAAAATAACCCCCACCACAACTACTACCACCACTTTATTACCACCATCACCTCCGCTACTACCACCACCCATCACCACCCACCACCCTTCAGACGATCCTAGTCGAACACGCAAAAAATCCTTCCTACCAAAAAGTTCATTAAAGAATTCCTAAATTGGCCACTCACATCTGCGATTAGCTACGATCGAATGCAAGATCATCCAGATCCGACGTATCATTTATATTTACACAGGATTTAAGATTACTCAAAGGGAAAAAAAAAATATCAAGTTACGGGGCCTGGCGCAACCAATTCGATTTTCCCTTTCGGAATCACCATTTGCAGAATATACGACTCCCCATACACCACCATTCATCCATCCAGAAATATTGAAAGACATGCGCTCAATCACATCTATATGGTATAGTGTTCTCAAACCCGAGTTCAGCTATTAGTTGATCATACGAAACCTGCGCCATTGGGCAATTTCATTTCACTTCCCAAAAAGGGTTGAGGGTGAATTCCGCTTACAAGATGTCGTCTCTTAATTCGAGTCCCAATCCAACTCCTCCTACCTCAAGAGTTCCCGCACAACAGCAATCTCCTCATATGTCTCCATATCCACAGAGAACATCCTCTTTGAATCGAAGACGTGGTATATCGCGTGTGCGGACCGAATTCCTTCCTACCATTACATCCGCCCCTACCGTTCCAATGTCGGCGTCCTCGGTCACAACCTCAAGCTCCGCACAAGCGTCGCCCATCATGTCACCCGAAACTAATCAAGTTATGACCAACAACTCCTCATTACAAGTATCCCCCGAAGGCCCTCGTGGGCGTGAACCTGAACATCGCCTTCCCCCTTTCGACCCCCTCCCCGATTCAATAGTCTCAAGGAAACATAGTCAAACCGCCATGGCTGAGGCATTCACGGGCAATAGATCGCAAGGTTTGATGAGGAGGTTATCGAACAAGATCTCCAGACGACAATCGACAACTATAAGTCGGGACCAAAGTGCGGGACCAGTCATGTTGCGACGCAGGAGTGACAGTACCAATACAGCTCCAGATTCCAGACACAACTTCTTCAACTCTGATTCCGACGAAGATGCCCACGAGGATTGTATCGAGTGGGTTGACTCTCCATTGGGCATCGAAGGTCTTCCCGGTGACTATCCAAGCTCCAATGCTTCATTCGCTTGCTCTTCGACGATGACTAGCGGCGGCGCTAATGGAGGCCTCGCATTTGGTCCCGTTATACCTACCATCCTTCTCCAGGGGACCACCATGACCAAAATCACAAAGAAGAAGAGAAAGTTTCTTACATTTGTTCTAGAAGATGAAGCTTGTAAGGTGTCGTGGGACAAGACGAGACCCGCAAAGAGCTTCCTCATTGACAACATCAAGGAAATTCGACTCGGATCTGACGCCCTGAACTATCGTGAGGAATTTAAAGTTGACCCTCAGGACGAACCTCGTTTCTTCTCCATCTTGTACGTGGTACCCGACCACAAGTCGAATGGACGCTCAACGAAAATTATGCACTTGATCGCCCCTGATGAACAAACTTTCGACCTTTGGACAACAACCTTGGAAGCTATATCGAAACATAGATATGAAAACATGTCAAGTCTTGTGGCCTTCAACGAAAAGGCAGTCAGGAACTATTGGCGGGGCGAGATGACGAAGCAATTTTCCGAAATACCTCATGCCGAAGATGAAGAGGCTCTTAACTTCGAGGGAGTCGAGCAGCTTTGCAAGAATCTCCATATTAACACTTCTTCCAGATTCCTGCGCGAGCGATTTCACAAGGCGGATGCTACAAAGTCAAAGAAATTGAACTTTACCGAGTTTCAAGAATTTGTGAAGCTGATGAAACGCAGAGAAGATGTTTCAGAAATCTACAAAGATCTTGCTTCCGATGCTGCGAAAGGAGTCACACTCGAAGAATTCATCAAATTTATTGCCGTCGTCCAAGGGGAGAATGTTGAAAAAGACCGAGCCAAATGGGAATCGATTTTCGCGAAATTTTCCCGTCGATCAAGGTCACGAGATCAGCCACTACAAGATGGTGAGGCTGCACGGATGAGTGAAGAAGCCCTTGCAACTTTCTTCACATCCATCCACAATGTTCCTCTGGAGGCTATGCCCGAAACATTTCCCCTCGATCGTCCTATGCATGAGTACTTCATCTCTAGCTCTCACAATACTTATCTCATGGGTCGACAGGTCGCTGGTGAATCAAGTGTTGAGGCTTACATATCAGCTCTGATCAAAGGTTGTCGATGTGTAGAAATTGATTGTTGGGATGGCAAAGATGGGCGACCTATTGTCAATCACGGACATACGATGACCAGACCCATCATGTTTTCTGACGTCATGTACACCATCGCGAAATATGCCTTTGTCAAATCTCACTTTCCGTTGTGGATTTCTCTGGAGGTTCATTGTAATGATGCCCAGCAGGCAGCTATGGCTCAGATCATAAAGGACGCTTGCGGTTCTTTACTGGTCACAGAGCCTCTTGATCCTTCGTCTCAGGAACTCCCTTCGCCTTCTCAATTGCTGGATCGAATCTTGATCAAGGTCAAGAAACCCAGAGTCGATGAAACACCGGTCAAGGTCAATGGTCGGTCTCGTGGGGGCAGCCTTAGCTCACCTCGCGTTTATCCTACTCAGCTCGATAATTCAAGCATTTCTAGTGGCTCCCTCCTGCCTACACCAAGTGCAACCTCAAGTGGAAGCAATATCAAGCAAAGCATTCGAAGGACTGGAACTGATGAGACTACAAGTAGCAGCAGTAGCGACAGTGAGGGAAACGAAGACAGACCTAAGGATAAGCCCAAGACAAGCAAGATTGTCAAAGTCCTTGGAGAGCTTGGTATTTACAGTGCAGGTGTTAAATTTCGTGGTTTCGATGATCCCGAGAGCAAGACCTACAATCACATCTTCTCCTTCATGGAATCTACGTTTGATAGAAATAGCAAGACTCAGGGTGATCGCCGTGCGATGACGAGGCATAATATGAGATTTCTCATGAGAGTATATCCCAATGGATGGCGTGTCGCATCTACTAATTTCGATCCGCTCAAATATTGGCGACGAAGTGTTCAGATGGTTGCTCTCAATTGGCAAACTCATGATCTCGGTATGCAAATGAATGATGCTATGTTTGCAGGAGGCACTGATCAATCCGGTTACGTCCTTAAACCAAGCGAACTTCGAGAGATTAAAATGCTTCCCAGTGTTCCCGAGGAAGCAGGTGCCGATCATGTCAAGCGAGAGCGCAAGAATGTTAACTTCTCGATTGATATCATCTCTGCTCAACAACTCATGCGCCCAAAAGGTCTCCCGTCAAATCGTTCTGTCGATCCATATGTTGAAGTTGAAGTTTACCATGCTGATGACAAGAGCAAGGAAACTAAAGGGGTCATTGGCGAAGGTGGTCTTGACGCTTCTGCTAAGGATGGCTCTTCCGGTTTAGGGGCTCCTCACAAGCGTCGTACACACATCGTCCAAGAGAATGGCTTCAATCCAGTTTTTAATAAGAAGTTTAATTTCGCTTTAACGACCAAATTCCCAGAACTCGTGTTCGTTCGTTGGACTGTCAGATGCTCCCCGGATGGTCACAGTTACAATGATAAATCTTTACCTTTGGCTACATATACCGCCAAACTCAGCAGCCTTAAACAAGGCTATCGCACTTTACCTCTCTACGATACAAACGGTGATCAATTCCTCTTCTCTACACTCTTCTGTCGCGTCAAAATCGATCCAGCTACAAGCATCTATGTCAATGCCGAAGCAAATGAAAGCGTCGGCGTACTAAAGAGTCTCGGTCGTACCGTCTTCAACCGAACACCTCTATCACCAAAACCTCCTGTCGATAGTGGTCATCAATGATTCAAACTCACTTCATCCTTCCACAATATTCGATTCATCTGTACATTCTATATCAATTGTAATATACTTCATTTTGGGCGTTTGTATCAAAAAGGCGAGGTGCCATGCTGCGTTCCATTTTCATTGGAAAGAAACAGTCATCGATTCTCGGTTCAGTAATTTCAATTTTATGTGGCGCGTCTGAGCGCCTTGAGATTTTGAGCGATCCATTTTCGATTTTGTTTCTTTTCGAGCGTTTCCATTTCAGCGAGGCGCAATTTTTAGGAGGGATAAACAAAGGATACCCCTTCAGCATTCTGCGACTTGCAATATCACAGCACAGGGATTGCGATTTTCACTTCGAATGGCGCGGGCAGCGTTAATATACATAGGGCTGGGAAATTAAAAGCAGCTCGCGCTGCGCGGTTTTGCTTGCGATTGCATTTTAAGGGGTCTGTCTGCATACTCCAAACACTTTCGTGTGTATGATTTATGTTCATTACACCAAAAAAACAACTCCACTCATTTATTCATAGAACTTTCTTTTGTTTTGTTCAATATCCGGCAACATAGCATGTAGCGGGCATACTACTTTTGGCTTGTTTTTTGTTCCTTTGCAAAGGTTTACCCTCAGATCAAATGTTTCGCGGGTCGAGTTTTTCGGAATGGTATGGGATTGGACTGGATTGTACGGAATGGAGCATTGTAGGAGCGAGCATATACGATTTTGCTGGACTGGCTCTATGCGTTGTTTTGTTTCACTCCACTGGGATCTTATGATTGGGATACTTTTGGCGTTTTCATATCCTGGGATGGAGGAACTTGTTTTTACTTTCTAGGCCTTTCTTGCATTGATGGATGGGACACTTATATGACGGTCTGGCTCATTGGACTCTACAAAGTGGGAGTTTTGTTTTTTGGTTGCATACATATGGTATACAAATGTGGTGGTGACTGTGATGGGCTGTGGTGATGGTATGAAGGATCGCTTTAAAGAGCTTGATCTTTGGCTGTACCTTTTAAGCTTTGAGCTTTTTTGAAAAGAAATATGGTGTAGCTTGGGAAAGATGGAAGGGATTTTCATTGTTTGGCTGGTTAGCTGATGATAAAGTGGATGGGTGGAAGCGTATAGAAAGAGAGATGAGTACATGAAAAGATGAGAAATACAGATGTAAGAACTGAGATAGTTCAAGGGCAGGGAGGGGAGAGATTGTGGACGAGAGATATATAACAATGAAGATCTTCCTGAGCTATATATATTTTAGATGCATTGCATGTTTTGAGATGTGACTTGTTATTGTTATCGATTAGTGTTACTGGCGCTGTCGCCACTACACTGCTAGGTAGGGTTGATTGTTTTTTTGAATTTTCCATGTATTGGACAAACTGGTGGGGTAATAAAGTGCGACATGCAACAAAAGGAGGTTTTAGCACTAACTATCTAGGTATCTAAGTAATAAAGTATTCTCACACTTTATATGCGCAATCATATAGGTACAAAGGGTTTCTTGATTCCTGACCAAATTACATTGCCCATCAACCATCGATCATCAACTCTCTCCTCCAAAAAAATAAAAAAAATAAAAAATTTAAAAAAAAATTTTGAGATCGAGATAGAATAATGACTTATCTGAATATATCCCATCCCGTCCTTGTCACTCACTCATCTATTCATATTATGATATAATATTATCATATTATATTATCATATTATAAAACATCACGATGCAGAACCTCCATATCTTTATTTATATCTATATTTATATCTATACTCACAATAACCGCATCAAGGAACCTAGCTTTCTGTCGCTGTCCCTGTCCCTGCTGTTCCCCGTGTTAGTGCCATCTACGCACCTTCATACCTCGGCGCTTGCCCCTACCAGCGCCCCTCTCTCGCTCTCCCTCTCGCTCTCCCTCTACCCCTTCGCCCAGCCACCCCGCTGCCCCTACCACACCGTAACACGAACCTCCCCCTCCATAATCCTCGCCAACAAAAACGCATGCTGAATCCCCATGTGCAATCCAACAATCTTTAAAGTCCTCACGCAAAAAGCCCGTACTTCTTTCGTAGACACACGTGAAATCCCCACGAGGAACAGCGGCCAGATGAGAAAATAGCCGCCGGAGAAGCGGAGCGTGGGGAATTTTTCGCTGTGGGGGCTCGAGAGTGAGGAGGGGAAATTGGTGTTGAGGTTTTGGGGATGAGGGTTTCTGTGCGGTTGTGGGTGTGCGTGCGGGGTTGAAGTGCAGTAGCCGATGTGTTGGGGTATGCTGGCTAGGATGTCGGATTGTAGGGTGTATATCGTCGTGGTGGATTTTTGGAATAACGACGCGTATTCTGCGCCCTGGAGGCGTGGGCTTGCGGACGCGAAATCTTGTATTAAGACGTCTCGGATTGTTTCGTTGAGGAGGATTCTAAGACCTGCTATGGCGTTCCATATTTGCGCTACCCAGTGATCGTGGTAGATGTGGTAGTAGCCTTCGAATACAATATCTGGATCCTCGTTTGTGTGGATGATTGTATGTTCCCAGCCTTTTGGGACGTTGTTGTAAAAGGCGAGGAAGCGCTCATCTAGGGCTTGGGCTTCGTTGAGGAGAACGTCGGGATCTGTGTATTGACCTGCGTGATACCTCGCGTTAAATGCGGTGTAGTCGACCATGATTTTTTGGGCTATCCAGGCTGGATCTATGTTTGTCATGGTTTTTTCCGCGAATGCTGTCATTTCGGTTATGTATTTCGGGATGGCGATGTCTCTTTGGAGACAGGATGTTAAGAGGCTTGAAGTTACTTGAGCTAACAAACGTATGCCTCCTTTTGATTTGATAGCTTCCCTGCCTCGGAGTCTGATAACCGCAGCTGCACCGTGGATATGTTCTGCCCATGCTTTCATGGATTTTTGATTACGTCCTGTGATGGTTTCGAAGATGCCAAGAATCAAGATCGCTAATAATGTACTATCTTTCTTGACGGCGATAGGAGATTGAAGAGCTGCGTTGGTGAGTTGTAATGATTTGGCGTATTGAGCACGTGCTTGATTCATGAGCTGAGGAGCTTTCGCTGAATGTGAATAACCCGCTAGACCAACTGCATGGACCGCTGCGACTAAATTATCATCTATGCTATTGGATTCGTACAAATCGGAAAGAAGGTCGAGATGTCCTCGAGTGGGACCATGATCACCTATCACATAATTTGATAGGAAGAATGCGGCAGCTTTATCTTCAATCGATGGTGTTATGTTGAAATAATTGATCGAGATAATCTGGCTGGGTTGCGGAGTTCTTACAACTATATCGCGTTGAGAGCTAGAGCTTTCTCGGCTTGAACATAGTGAGGATGTGTTTGAGTTAGGAGTTGTGGAGCTGGGAGAGATAGATCCCGTGGTTCTTTGCTTGGCTTTTTCATGCTTGACTTTTGCTTTCTTAATCACGCTCTTTGTTTCCTCACGGAATATCACGTCGGTTTGAGATCGGTACCCCGGACATGCTCGTCCGGCATTAGAGCATTGAGTACATCCGGTGGGTACTGCATCGCACTTGATCTATTTCAGTAATTGTCTATGGATATGGAGATGAAGATACTTCATGGTATAGAGATCATGGGCTAGGTTGTAGGCTAACTTACTTTTGTTTTCTTGGCTCGGCATGCATGGCATCCTTTAGAAGGACGGCCACAGAAAACCATACTTGACTCAATATGTTTGCTTAAGTAACGGAATTTCGCGTTTGATACTCCACTGGACGGTACCGTTTGAGACCGTACGTCTTCTAGGGCCAGTTTCCAAGAATAAGAACAAGCTCAAAGCTCGAGAACAAACTCCACGAGTGATTGATTCTGTGGGTATTAGAAACTGACAGCCGGTGTGATGAAAGAGATGAGCTCGAGTTTGGGTTAGGGAACACCACACACTTCGCAATGATGATCTCAAACAGGAATGGAAGAAGTTTGTATATTAAAGAGATACAATACTAATAAGATAGCCAAGAAAAAGTAGCGAAACTGCAACAGCAATGTGAGATCTTCAAACATATTTCCTGGCTGATCGATCTCATATGGACGTCTCTAGTGTAGAAGATAAGCACGTCACGTGAATATGATGATGAGGATGATATCTAAATGATTGGTTGAATAATCTCGTCTGTATTTCCTTTTCGAGTGTACGAGGAAGTTGACCAATAGAAAAGGCTGGAAATGTCGGTTCGGGGCGGGCCGTGAGTCCTTTAATTGGTTAAACGTGCTGGAGCTTATTGATGTTCTTACGGGATGTGGGACGGGGACAACTATCCTTGTTGATCTGACAAGGCGCATTTCTTCGCAGTGACAGTCATCCTCGTCATCTTCTTCATGGATGAATTATTTTCTTCAACTCAACCTTTTACATTTCTTTATATTAGTATCAAGAGGCATTGTCAACGGTATTGAACGAGATATATGCCTTATATGAGGCTACGCGCTCACATGCAGCACTTCACCTGGTCAACGTGACTCGCTAAGTGGTTTTGCACAGTATGGTCGTAATATCGAACATTCCGATCTCCTACTTTGGTCATCATGAAGTCCTGTACATATCTAGGATTGATTACATGAGGTTAAATGCTCAGATGGAGCTCCGCAATACTAGTGGCTCAGCTAGGTGGTGCTCATCGTAGGGCATTAGTCTCCCGTTTTCTAATTTGACTATCATGAAGTGGGACCTCTAGCTGGCCGTCATAAATTGTTGTGTTTTCATCTTGTCATTTTTCTATATACTCTTCCTACTTTCTTTTTGCCTAACAGTGCTTCTATACGTTCTAGTTAGCGGTTGTGTACTCTTTCCAAAAAATTTAGTCTTCAAGCCTAGGTCATTTATTCTAAACTTCACAAGTGCAAATGGCCATTTACCTGTTCAAAAAATGGAAGGCGACAAAGGAAAACCCGTCAACCCCATCAGGTCCCTCCACAAAACCAGAATCTTCAAAACCTTGCAAACATAGAAATAACGTCCTAGGACTCACGTCAGAAGAGCAAGACTCAGCAATCCCTCTAGAATCTCAAGCAAGAAATGTCGAAGGTAAAGAAGGTACCCAAAACGAATCACAGATAGGCATATCTTATGATGGACCAAGTACTCTTTGTGAACAAGACAAAAAAGCATTAAGTAGGTATAGGTGGAGGTTAACTGCTGGACTGATGTTACCATATATGGTTCAAGGACTAGATCTTACCATTATTGCTGGTGCTTTACCTTTCATTGCTTCGGATTTCAGTAAGTTTTTGACTCTTTATTTTCTTCAGCATTCACCACAGCTAATGGCTTTCAAGATCAGCTATCGCAACTGAATTGGATTATCTCCGCGTTCAATCTAAGGGCAACGACTTTCATACCCGCTTGGGGCCAACTCGCTGACATCTTTGGCCGGTATGCAGCTCTCCAAGCAGCCTTGATTCTTACTTTAATTGGAAGTGCTCTCTGTGCTGGGGCACCAGTAACTGCTTTTACCATGTTGCTTTTCGGTCGAGTTCTCCAAGGATTAGGTTGTTCCGGACTCTTAATATTGACCAAAGTTCTCCTTGCTGATAAAGTCTCACTCAAAGAAAATGCTAAGAACAATAGCTTATTTGCTGTTGTCGGTGGCCTTGCTTATGGATTTGGACCTGTTATCGGAGGATATCTGACTCAAGTTTCCTGGCGATGGTGCTTCATAATTAATATCCCTATTGCGCTAGTGGGCATGATTGGTGCACATTTTCTTCTTCGACCAATATTGCTCGGGCCTCAAACAATCAGACGAACTTAAGATGGTACTGAAATGTAAGGGCCTCAGGCATTCTTGAGGAGACTTTCAACACTTGACTTTGGAGGACAATTCCTATTTCTCTTCGGGATGGGCCTTTTTATTCTTGCCATTACCTGGGTGGAGCATACTACCCCTAGTCGGATGTCAAGGTGATCGTTCCTCTCGTCCTAGGTTCTATTCTCCTCATACTATTTCTCGTCTGGGAATACCTCATGATGCCAGGCTTAACACTACCAGTCTGGTATCCATATCGCCGGGCCATGCTTCCATTCAAGCCCATTTTGAGCCGCAACTCCGGACTGTTAATGTATATCAACTTCAGCACCGGTATGGCATTGTACGCCGTCTTCTACTTTGTCGATATATATTTCGCACTCGTCCTGCAATTTTCCTCCAGTGAAGGAGGTAAAAATCTACTTTACTACATCCCAGGTCTAGCCGGCGGCGTATACCTCGCTATTTTTGCCTGCAATGTATTTCCACACCAAACATGGTATCCACTTTTCCTCGGCACGATCATCGAGCCCCTCGGCAGCACTATTCTCGCCGTAGCGCTTTCCTGGGGCCATCTCCCTACAGTCTATGGCATGCTTGCTCTTACGGGCGTGGGAACAGGAATCAGACTCATGCCTGGTACACTCTACGCAATAGGACATTATCCCACACAAATCGCACCACTCGTCTCAATGATGTCTCTTTCTTCTTCGCTAGGTGGCACCCTCGCATTAACAATCATGCTAAATATCTTCAATAACCATCTTTCATCCTCTGGTATTTCGGTCTCTGGCGCCTCGACTGTGAGTTTTTCGAATATCGAGACTTTACCATTGATAGAACAGGATTATGTGAGAGATATGGCGAAGAGAGGTATCGTGTTGGCTTTCTTTGCTATTTCGGCGTTTTTGTGGTTAGGTGTGGGTGCGAGTGTGGGATTGGGAAATGCGTGGATTGCGAAGGATGGGGAGGAGGGGATGGCGAAATTGGGGAGAACATGTGAGGGGAGTTTTATTTGGAGTTTGGTGAGGGGAAAGGGGAGAGATAAGGCTGAGGAGGCTTGAGGTGGGGATATACGTGGTATCTATATATTTATGTATATCTGTGGAGTAGTTTTAGATTGCTGATGCCCAGAGTATACAATTAGTTCTTGGTCTTTTAAATATTCAGTTCATGTATATAGTATATTGTATAGAAAGAGGATCAATTGTGATCTTAATCTTAAGTAAGAGTACAATTTTGGGAACCTAAAATAATATAAATATTTAGATTTCATTACAATACACTATCTATCCATGACTGAAGACTATCCAATTATTCTAGACCCAAGAAGCAAATTGTGATATAAATTATCTCTTTCCGGATCACTAATAATCTTGTAGATAAGGTTATACAACTCGACTACTTCCGTCTAGTCAAGTTTTTCAATTTTTACTCTTAAATAATAGCTAACATTACATACTTATTCATGTATAAGATTTTACATTGAACAGTCAACATCTTAAACTTATACTTCCTTCCACAAAACTATATAACCAACCAACCAACTGGTGAATCAATAAATTATCTACAAAGAAAATATCCTCCCCTCCATTCTCACTGAGTAATTCACTGAAATGAAACGCCTTGAAACTCGTGGGTTTAGATCCCTGGAATCCTGTCTGTTCTTTGTGTAGAAAAAAAGTTTGAGAAAAGTTTTGTTGTATATCCGGAAAATCCGAGGTGGAGTATGGAGTGTGGAGTGGTTCTATAGACTTTGGCTGGCTGCCTCTGGCTGATTTTGAGTTTGACAGGCTTTGGCTTTGATAATACTAACTCTAACAGTCCTAACACCCACAGACGGTGACTACAGAATCTAATATATCTATACTACTGATATAGTTCATTCTAACAATGCTAATGATTTCAGATATAAGATTTATAATCTGAAACATCAAGTTAATTATCACTAGAAATTTTAAATTTTTTAATTTATAGATTTTGAATATTAAATAAGATATAGAAATCAATTTAGGACTTGAATTAATATAAATATTAATTTGAAAATAAAATATAAAATGCTTTTATTATAGATTTAAATATAAAATTATAATTAAAATATAATCTGAATTTTGATTTGTTAAATATATTGTTTATTTATTTATTATTATAATGATAAATATAATTTAAAAGAAATAAAAAAATATAAAGTAAATAAAAAATTAACAAAAAAAACCTCTTTTATTATATATTTGAATATATTAATAAATATATTTAATAACTGAGATTGATTTAACAAAACAAAAATATATACTTTGAGATCTTATCATTAGATTCAAATCATTTTCCTCAAGTTCTTTAAGTCTTAAAAAATTTCTTTTAATTGACTTGATTTAATAATATAAAAATACAAAATATATAATAAAACTTTTAAATTCTTTTCAGATGCAAACATTTTGTCACGATTCACGGTTTTCATTATAGTAGTATTATTGATGTCGGTGATTTACATGCCGACAACAGGGGGGGTGTGATTTAACCATTGCTTTCAAGAGGCCTAATCACTTACGAATAGAACTCCAGGATTCCTAGGATAAGTATCCTAAGCAACTATATTAGATTAGGACAAGTGTCCTAGCTAATTGGCTGAAATGGGACAATCACCCTAGAGGATATTGTATCCTAGGGCTATGGTTCCTAGAGGAAAAGCTCCTAGAACAAGTGTTCCAGAAAAGGAAAGGCCTCAGGAAAGATGAAGCCTCAGGATCAATCACGTGATGTGCTAGCTCTGCTAGCCAGCTAGCAAAGCTAGCATACAAGGAAAGAGATTAGTATATAGTCGGAATAGTTTCATAGTTTAGGAGCTTCGTGCTCAACTTAGTTATCAATTAGTTTACCTACCTTCCAATTGATCTAGTAGCGAATTCACTTTCAAGTGGATAACCAGTGATTAATAGCCTTAACCCACAACTACCAACCACACGAAACCTCAGGCAGCCGCTGCCTCGACCAGATCGTTACACATTTCTTCTTCAAGTCCTTGAGTCCAAAGGTTTTATTTGTGTGCCAAAACTAATAAAATTGGTTTTTGAGATATACAACAGAATTTAGGCAACTGAAAATATCGTTTCTTATTAGGCTGCACAAAAATAACCCGCGGATTGCGGATATCTACAAATAATCTACCCCGCGGACTACTCAATAAACCTACAATCCGCTCCACGGATTACCCATTGAGATTTTAAAATAGCCCGCACCACATAAATTATTTGCGGATTATCCACAAATAATCTGTTAATTTATAATTAGATATATAATTTGTATAAAATAGATATAATTTATAAAGATTGATATGAAAATTAATATAGAAAATATGAGAATAGCTTCAAAAATTTAAGCAAATATCATTTGCAAATAATCCGCAAATAACCTGCAAATTATCCACAAATTATTCGCAGATAATCTACCTACCCGCGGATTAATAGATTATCCACAAATTAATAGATATTTGCGGTTTTCCCATTCAAATTCTTCAATTACCCGCCCCACAAATGGATCATCCGCGGGTTACCGTCCAAGGGCAATAGTCCGCCCCGCGGAGCCCCGTTGCGCAGCCTATTTCTTATTGGTTGGGCTGACGTCAACCCGGTGCCATGAGGACATATACAGCGAATCTTAAATGTATTAATCTGAGAACTGAACTCTAAGTGTGTAGCTAAAATATACAATATTCAATACAATAAAATAAGTTATTATCTCCAATATGAATTTAACAAAGCAACTTATAAATCTTCTTCCATCTAGGCCACTCATCCATTCCTATGTCCCATCTCTGCCCCCTAGATCCTCTATACAAAAACCCTGCGTCCACGTCGTTCCTACCCGTCCTCAAATCGATCGCTTCAATCTTCATCCACCTAGTCCTATACCAAAGTTTATACCCCGCATAAAACATCAAAACCACCGGTAATGCCAAATATGCCTCAAAGAAACCACTAATCTTATCATTAACTCCCTCATTTTCATCACCTAGTGGATCAACCGCTACCCAGAATTGCGCTGCGAGAACTAATATGATTATGATCAAGCCAATCCACGAACCGGCCGTACCAACTGAAGATTGATAGATGAGGGAATCAGTACTATGGCCCTGTTGTGCCCATGCTTTACGAAATCGGATATGCGAATAACAGATTGTTGCCCAAGTAAAAAGTGTCGATAGACCCGAGAGAGCTAGTAACCACGTGAATGCAGCATTTCCGATGGAAGAGACGTATAGATAAGCAAGGACGCCGAAAGCTAAAGAGATAAAAATGGCGACTATAGGACGGCCTTTACGATCAATGTAAGCTAGAAAACGAGGAGCTTGGCCTTGTGCTGCGAGAGAGGCGAGGAGACGCGAAGAGCCGAAGACGCAGGAACTGGCGACGGAGAAGACAGCTATTAGGATTACGGCGTTCATTACTGAGTCTAGGCCATCGATACCTGCTGATTGAATGGCTATTATGAACGGGGAGGCTTTATTGGTGGTGGAATTTGAGGTGGAAAGAAGGGATGGGGTATTGTAGGGGACGAGTAGGCCTATAATGAATATGCTCAAGATATAAAACTAGGAATTGTTAATTCGTGTAAATCCAATCAGATGCTTCATTTGATACTCACCAGAACAATACGCCAGAAAACCTGCTTAATAGCTGTTGGTAAGGATTTGCTTGGGTTATAGGTCTCGGCAGCAGCCAATGCAACTAGTTCTGTTCCTGCGAAGGAAAATGCCGCCATAACGAGTATGTTACAAAATCCTTTGAAACCATGATTGAAGGCCCCCGGGTTAATCCAGTACTTACTCCCTATATAACCCGTCTGAGGAGTCCCAGTGCAATTTATCACGATGCCAAGAAGGCTAGAAAAATCTTGTTAGAAAAATCACTTGAGACTTTCATGACAAGTGCTTACATGAAACCTATGATAGCTGTGACTTTGAGTATCGAGAACGCATACTCTGCCTCACCAAATGTTTTGATGCCACAAAGACTAATAAAAGCGACGCTGGCTAAGAAGATTGTGATACTAGCCCAAGCAGGTATTGGAAGATCCCAATACTCGAGAGTAATGGCTGCGGCCATGAGCTCCACCGGCATAATGATGAGACATAGAATGGTATAGTTCCAGCCGGTTGCAAAGCCCCAAGCTGGGTCAATAAAGCGCGTAGCAAATGTCGAGAATGAACCTAGAGTTTGTTTAGTCTTCTTGTGATCAAGACACTGTCAGTTTTATTACCGGCGATTGGAAAAGTGACTGCCATTTCTCCTAGTGCTTGCATAGTACAGTATAACATTCCTCCTATCAAGATATATGCAAGAAGCAGAGAACCAGGACCTCCACTTGCTAATGCTGCCCCTGAGCCTACGAACAGCCCAGTACCTATCCTTGTTAGATATTTTAGGTGTGCGAAAGAACGGAGATCTAACCTATGGAACTTCCAATCGCGAACATCTATCACAGTCATTTTTCGCTCATGTAAGTCTACATGAAGAATATCATACCTGCAAATGGCGGCCTCTCAAAGTTCTAACCAGGTTTGTATTAGCAGTATTCGATGCCGCGACTTTATCATTGTATCTTCTCCCATTTCTTCCCACATAAATAGCGTGCTCCAGATCTTGCTCTGCATCGCTGCGGAAGTTGTCAAAGGGTTTCGAGGGGAACTTTCTCGTCTCTTTCGGTTTGACTAAGAGAGGTACGACTGTAGAGCTTGTTGTGGTTGAACAGCTTTTATTTATATCTGTCGTGGCGTTAACCATTATGAAGGTCAAAAAATTACACCCTCAGATCGCTAAATAACTATGATAGTTGAAAACTATGATCAAAATTCTTGGGATATGGAAAAGCTTGAGACACGTTCTATACCGGAGGTGCTCGGGAGGAAGAGCCGGATAATACAAACATGGAAAATACATACCCACACTTTATGTATTTGGCAATAAAACTTTCTCTTGGGCCCGGCCGCTTGCAGCATGATATTACTTGGTGATTTGAAAAATAATTTCGAAACAAGCATTTCACAAGGCTGGGCACCCATGCTCTAGCCAGGATATATGATCTTTTATCCCCTAGAATGTCAACAATGGACCCATTCGCTTAATTAGACGGAATCGACCAATCAGATCCCTAGGATACCTCTCTTTGATATTCATGTTTAATTATTAAAAAAGAAATGGTATTATAATCTTCAAATCTTGTGACGCAATTGCCATAAACTGCTGGGAAACCAGGGTTCAATTGTTTTTTAAAATCTACAACTAGCGACCGAAAGGTCGATGACCCCGAAGCGCTATATATACTAATTACAGGCACGTGAGTTGGCCTCTAGCGCTACCGATCAAGATAACCAACTTATATAACCTTTCGAGCCGTGACAAATTTGCATAACCTAAATATTATATGATACAAGTTAAAAAGTTGGGAATATCCTAGTGTGTTGAAGACTTGAAGTGTAAATCTTATAGGAAAATGGCGTGATACAGTCACCCTGCGCAGATATTTGTCACGGACTTGATGATTTTAAACTTACTAGATTGTACTTCTGTCCAAATCACAAACAATCCTCCAAGGGTCCAAGAAGACCATGCGTTGGAAATCATGCAAGATATTGCTTGGTACAAAAGATAAATCGATGAATGATTCCAGAACCCCTTAGTTGGTCCATATGTTCCTGAATGCAGCACACCAACCTATTGTTATCAATAATCCTCTCAGCTGGAGAAAATGATGGCAGAGATAAAAGCAGCATTATCCTTGTTGATGTAAACGCGGCAGAAAACGTTTTGAATGCAGTAGCTGCACAAAATCAAAAGCTTAAATTGATAGTGTTACTTTAACCGTTAAATGCTTGTGACAGTTTGAACAGATACGCTAAGGTCTTATAAACCCCTTAATTTAGTCCCGTTTAGGGAAGCACTACCGACGCTAATAACCTCCCATACCAGCAACAGAAACGTCCCAACTTCATTATAGCAATCCTGACATCTTAAAAATGACAAATTCAGTCTTTTAAGTCTCGGTACTATTGGTTTAGATTGTGGTATCTCTTCTTATCTTTAATCGTGCCTTATATAAGGTTCTCGGTAAACATGTGTCATCTCTTGGCTAATATCGTCCAAGACTCGAAGTCGAGTCTTCAGGGAAAGTTATCTTTGCTAAAATGATTTCTGATTGGGCTCTCAGGGTTCAATTTAATAAATACTTTACCACGTGGTGGAAAAAGAGAATATTGCCAACTCGTTTCTTGCGGACATGAGAACGAAGTGGGTAAAGTTCGCCGACCGTTGGGACCTTACTTTCTTTCCACCGACGAGGGACAAGGGCCTTAGTGTATTGATATTTGCATGGAGACAGCCGCATACCCCATAAAGTCCCTCTCATCATGCCATCAATTAAAAATCTACTCATCAGCATACACACAAGCGATGGAAGTTCTTCGACGTTATGCTACAGAAGCACCCGATCAGCGTGCTTGGGTAGATACCAAACCCACATTTATTCTTAGTTGGTGGTGTACAATTTTTGCCATTACTATAATTTTGTTTCGGATTTCTGGTAGATATGTTCGAACGGAGAAGCTCTATCTTGAAGATGGCATTATGATGTTTGCAATCATACCTCTGCTCATGAGAATGGCTTTCGTCCATGTCATCTTAATGTTTGGCACCAATAACTCTCTGACACTCGGTTTATCATCAGAAGATGTACGGAAAAGAAGGATTGGGAGTCAGCTTGTTTTAGTCTCAAGGATTATGTATGCTATGTAGTATGTCTATGTTCGAGTGTCTCTCAAGATGGTACTGACGACCAAAGCCTATGGGCTATAAAATACAGTACCAGCATATTCTTACGTTCTCTGACCGGACAAATCTGGCAACGAGTACACCATAAACTACTCAAATATCTTCATATTATGCTCGCCGTTACCTTCTTAGCCACCGTTGTCAGTGATATTGCTGAGTGTCAACCTTTTACCCACTACTGGCAGGTTATTCCAGATCCTGGACCAAAATGCCGTCAAGGCTACGCGCAATTTTTCACAGCCGGCATTCTTAATATGATTACAAATTTTGCATTGATCATCTTTCCTGTTCCAATGATTTTGAAGTCAAATTTATCAACTCACCTCAAACTAAGCGTTATTATACGTTTAGCGCTTCCAATACTATGTATTTTTGCAACGATCAACCAGCTCAGGAGCGTAGTGTCTCACAACGGCGATCAGCAAATCCGTTCACTCCTGGCTTCCCGTAAGCTCTTTCATCACCCAATGACACTCAAACCCTAGCTAACACAGGCTGAAGTCGACATTCTCCTCACCACCATGGCATCTAATGCCTCAGTAATCGGCTCGCTCCTCCAAGACAAAGGCTACAAGAAAACGAAATACAAACCTCCCATCTACTGCGATATTCCCTCCCGTGCTCTTTCTTCCCGCTATACTGGTAGGCTTGACAGTGATGAGGCTCTCATAGTTGAAAATCCCGATGTAGATGGAAAAGGCGCTACTATGATCGCATTAGATCTTTTACATGATATCAGGGGTCGGGAGAATAACCAAGCGAAGAAGTTTGATAGGGGCGAAGTAGGAAGCGGACTGACGAAACCTGAGCATGTTTGGGGCTGTGACCAGATTAGAGTTGAAAGGGCATGGGATGTAAAAATCACGAAAGACGATATGCCTGGGAGCGGCCGAATAAATGAAAAATAATACTCGGTATAGGAATTCGATTCCAATGTATCATCAGCTCTCATGTATTGGTTTTAGTGTTCATGATAACGAAATTTGTATTATGCCGGTTATGTAAGATCTCAACTTCTTGAATACCATATAAAGCATATACTTAATTTCCTGTAGTTTGTAATATATACAATGACGTGTGAAATATTCTGAGAATGTCCTAGAGGCGACAAAATTAGTTCCTAATGGTTGTAAAATGTGCTACTGATGAGCTCTAGTTGAGCTCCCGGTGAGCACCATGATTTCCAATGTGAAAGCGGGTGGGAACTTTCTAGGCTGGGTTAGCGTGGCAAGGGCTGGTGCTGCTGTTGCTTTTATAGACGCTCCTCCAAAGCCACCGAAAATTATCTCGATGTAGGTTACACCGCTAGACCCCATTGAAGCATAGCCAGCACTTAAGTTTTAATTATCAATCACAAAAAATAAACGGATAATAATGCAAATGATATTTTTTATCAGATCATGGACGGCTGGTGGATGATCTGTACCTGCAGCGTGGAAAGTGGAAATCAGTTCAAGAGATTCGTGGGATTGGTTACCTTCCCCACTATCCCCCAGCCAAATAATTTAAAGTTGACACCCTAACTCGATTTATCTTGACATTTCAGCTGTTCTAGGTATCGGCTTTTTTCTGATATAATATCCAGAAAACCCTTCTTTTCTCACTCACGCCGTTCAGTGTTCACATCTTCGCGCCTTCCTCAATTGCACAATAATCCGCCCTTAAGATGTCGTCGTCTTACGCTATGAAGTCCATGGGACCAAAAGGTTAGATAGATTTTCACCGAAACAGGCTGTTTCTTCAATGCTTGAATCTTTCCACGCCAAGTTTGATCCACTATACTCACATATAAACAGCCTTCAATCATTCTTCTTCCAATGATGCTGAAGCCGAATATGATCGACTACGCGACCTCGCTCACAAAGAAGCTGCCAAACGCTCCCAATGTTTCGACCAGGCGCATCAAGCCTACACATCCGGCGACGGAGCCAGAGCTCATGACCTTAGCGCCGAAGGGAAGAAACACGCGGCGCAAATGGACGCATACAATAGACAAGCATCCGACTACATATTCCGAGAGAACAATGCCCCTGGCAGAGTTGGAGACGATGAAATTGATTTACACGGACAGTATGTCGAGGAAGCGGAACGGATTGTGGAAGAGAGAATCAAATATGCGCGACAACAGGGACAATCGCATTTACATGTCATTGTAGGGAAGGGCAATCATAGTAAAGATCATGTGCAGAAGATTAAGCCAAAGGTTGAGGAAGTTTGCAGGGAGTTAGGTTTGCAGTATGCGACGGAAGAGAATGCGGGGAGGATGTATATCAATTTGCAAGGGGGGCCAGCTGTTATGCCACCAAGTGGAGGAAGTCATGGGGAAAGTCATGGGGGACAACATCATGGTGGTCAGCAACAGGGTGGATATCAACAACCATCTTATCAACAGCCTCAGCAAGGATATCAGCAACCTCAACAGAGTGGATATCAACAAGGAGGATACCAACAAGGCGGTCAACAGCAAGAACAGCAACAGCAGGACAACAACAACGACGAATTGGAGAAATTGGCGAGGAAATTTCTTCCAAGAATATTACAGAAAGCGGAGAAAGCTTGCTGCGCGATTATGTGAATTCTAATTGGATTTGTTTAGGTTACAATTTTGCATTCATGGCTCTTTTTCTTCGAATATACCCTAGGTTATAGAGGGATTTCATTGGGGATATGATATATGGTTGCATGTTAAGAGAGATATGGGATGGTGTTTAATGTTGGATGTTATGTGTAGGACTTGAGATGAAAGATCATGATTTCATGATAGATTAGATGAATAAATTTTTTTAATATCGTCCTATTGCATTTGTTCCCAGGAATTCTAATCCTTGAATCCTGTGCAAATTCATCAAATTCATAGGTTCCTTGTATTCAGATTAATCTAGATACTCTCCGCACCTTTAAATATAGGGAGTAGCTGAACTAAACATCCTACATACAGATGGAATATCACCTCGAACCCTTCTTAAGGACGGATTCTTCTAAAATGGATAGATATGACGCTCCGCTGGGCCACTGCCGTGGAGGCTTTTTCGCTTCGCTCGCTCCAAGATCTAATACTCTATCATACTCTGTATGAGGGCTATGTTTCCTCCTATTTCAGAGCGACGCGAAAAAGCCTCCACGGCAGTGGCCCAGCGGAGCGTCATTAAAGGACTGTAGATAGGTATTGTGAGACTGTATAAATGTAAGGTAAGGTTTTATAAGTATATGATGTTTTTTGAGTTGAATTATAGTTGGTCTTTTATTATATTACCATATCATATATCTATCCGACTCACCTACCTACTAGGTACTGTAATTATAACATCGATGGAGGTTCATCTCATGTTTGTCACGAACCTACTAGGATGTAAGGATGTACGGATGAGGACGTAGGCAAAGAACCGGGTAAACTACGGATGAGAAAAAAGCCATGACCGCTATCTATCTAAAGTTTTAGTATCACCAAATTTTTCCAACAGCCGTACATTTGTCTTTCTTTTTAATTTACCTATTAGCTTGAATAGCTCATAACTCCCCACCGTCCGTAATCGGCCTTAGTTGTAAGGAAGAGCGACACCGGACAGCCATTGACCCATTGCACGAACGTAAAAGTGCCGAAATTCTTTTCAACTTCTCGTCGCAAATAGGAACCGCGGCTCAATTATCCGATACAGGATTGTCGCGCATGGAGCCTTCACATGGGATTCTGGGCGGGGCACCCGCTTCCAGCCCAACAACTGCCGTTCGGCCAGGTACAGGAGGGGCTTTCAACAAACGCAAGAGAAGTGCAGGTTTCGACAGTAGTCCTGGTACGGGAAACGAACAAGAGGATGAAGATGCAGAGAGAAGACGACAACCAGGTGTGAAGAGAGCTTGCAATGAATGTCGTCAGCAGAAAGTGAGTCACTACTTTTCCAGCAGGTGAATATATTTGAATATACTCGCGATGCGACTATGCGACAATGCGACGGCAACTCTATGCAATTGTCGGCCAAGGAATCTTCAATTGCTAATTTGAGCAATTTAGCTTCGATGTGATGTCATTCAAGATCCTTTTACCACCTGTTCACGATGCAATCGACTAAAGCTCGATTGTAAGATCGAGTCGAATTTCAAGCGAGTTGGAAAACGAAGTAAACATGCGGAGATGGAGAAACAAATCGAAAGACTTCAACGAACGGTAGCTCGTGCTCAACAAGCAGGTTTCATTCTTGAAGAAGAAGAAGACCTTCAATCCCCAGTCGCGAATAGCAGCGTCTACCAACATTCGAGAAACCAATCATACATAGGATCGGAAGAAGCTGTGTCATCCCTACTTCATCTCAAGCAAGGAGGTTCTTACAATTTACCACAATATGCGAGACAAATTGAGACCGTGGGCTTAACGGAAGATGCCATTAATCATCTGTTCAACGAATTTTTTGTCGGGTACCACCCATATCTTCCATTTCTTAGTGCAGAACAGACCTCCGACCAATATTATCAGCAAGACCCTCTCCTTTTCTGGGTCATTATTACTGTCGCAGCACGTCGATATTCTGCGGACCCAAATCTGTTGACCATTCTTCATGGCCCTGTTACTAGATTGTTGTGGTCCAAAGTGGGTGAGGTTCCTAACAATTACCATATTGTTAAAGCATTGATTTTGTTATGTACCTGGCCATTGCCTATAAGTACAACCTCATCGGATATTACGCATATCTTGTGTGGTGTAATGATGAAAGCTGCGACGGGTATTGGACTACACCGACCAAATAACACTCAAGATTTTTCCAGGGTATCTGTTGACCTCAACAGGGAGCAGTTGCATGATAGAGTAGTAACGTGGGCCGTCTGCAATATTGTAGCACAGAGTACGGCCACTGGATATGGACAACCAGCGTCGACATTATATGATTGGACGCTTGCAGTACGACCTGGAGAAGACGGGCCCTTTACAATTTCTCCAGAGCTTTCATCCCGCCTTACGATCGAGAGGTTCTGCGATAAAGTCTCAAAAGAAATGTACAGCAATGCCAACGATCCTAGAGGTGTTGCTGGTGATGAAATTAGGGCTTTGTTGACTCGGGTATACCGCCGGGAGTATGAAGAGATTCGAGTAGCAATACTCTCCAGACAGAATTTATCGCCAATCGTCGATCTCCACCTTCGAGCTGCTGGACTGCACCTTCGTCTCTCGGCGTTCTTTGATTCAAGTACCACACAGGGATACTTGGACGATTTGATGGGCTTATGGCGAGCTACTTATCAATTTTTAGATCTCGTCTTCGAGCTTGAGACTCCTTCATCTGACAACACTCATGGCGGTATCCTTCGGTTCGCCACAGGCTATATTCTGCAAATGATTATTGCTGCTTGCTTTTCATTACTCAAGCTACTCAGTTCTTTCTTCGCCAAGATTATGGATTTCGACCGTGGCCGTCAATTATTTCATCGTACCATCTCTGCTATTAGAACCATGAGCATTATGAACAACGACTTGCCTTGGAGACTCGCCGAACTCATGGTACAGATGTACAATGGAGCTCGAGTCGAGCAACGGCAAATTGCACAAATGAGCAATGGCAACGAATTGGATTCAAGCTCTGTTGTCATAGATGATAGTTTGCAATTAAAGGTTAGATGCAGGATGAGCATGAGTTTGGTATTTGATTCTATTTGGAGATGGAGAGAAGAGTTTCAGACTCAAGGTCGAAGTATTGAAGGTCAGTGATTCTTATCATGCTTTGCGCAACAACTTTGGTTCGTCGAAGATCACCAACTGAAAGCTTAACACAGCAGCGATCCGGAACCCGACCAATCCCGATAGTGCTAATGAGTCATCTGCCTCGTCAACTCACTTGGACAGTACTCTTATTCCTTCAACTCATCAGATGCAGAACCAACTCCTCGCTACGGCTGGACCCGTCACCCCGAGCGATGTCATGACCGGCGCCAATAGTATGCTCGCCGGAAACATAAACTATGGCGAGACGAACTACGAGGTTTTCGATCCTTTAAATTGGATGTTGGATGGATTGGTCGATTTTCCATACAGTTACAACGCTGTCCAAGGACTTGAAGCCAATGGTTTGGGTTGAAAGCTAGAAACTTTCAATCACCAAGCTAACTTGAATATTAGACCCACATCACCCCTTCAATGGTTACCTTCAGGATAATCTTTTCCTTTCGATAATTTGACCTCATGGTTGCCTTGCTCTATTAACACAGAGACGAGTGTTGATCGAGACAGTTCACAAATTTGCACGATGACTCCCTTCAGAACTGCCTATTTTAACTCTATTACGCCAACATTCAACTCTAATTCTTAATCCGGATTCTTATATACTTTACTTTCTTTTACCTGCCCAGTTTCACTGCACCTTTCGTCTAAATCCTCACGAATTTACGACTCTTTCAAATGCGCATCGACGGTGGGAATAAACCCCTTTCGGATTTCTTTCGTTTCTTTAACCGACTTGGACTCGTTAAGCTGCATGCAAATACTAAATTCAGTTCCATCTGAATGCCTGGTCGTGCCACTTTCGTTTCTTTTCTTCGATCCTACATGGGTTTTCCTGTGCTGGTGTGTCTTATCACTAGTATAAGATATCAACGGGTCGAAGTAACTTTCTTTTAGTATTATATATCCTTTTGGGACGGAGTTAGCGATGGATAAAACGGCGCTTCAGGGAATTTTGCTTTCGACAAATGGAAAGAGAATCTTTGATTTTTTCCATTGCCTTTTCAAATGGATGGTTAGGTAGTGGATGGATGGCAAAGGTGTTATATTGGATGTCGGGTTTGGCTAGGGTGTGTAGGCTATTGGGGCTGCATGGGGATTTTAAGTTGGCTAGTAATGGTTGAATGATAATGCTTGGTTACAGGAAATACAATCGGAGGTTGCTAAATGGATGGGTAATACGATGGGAAGTCGATTGATCTATTTGAATGGTTGGCTAAGTGGTCGTAGATAGGTGAATAGTTGGTGTTTACTACTTCACAGATGTAGATGGCAAGATCAGGTCATAAAAACGATTATATTCGATTAGGGAGTTCATTGCGTCTGTAGTGATAATTTTGATCATTATATTAACATTATCTTGCTTGTTTCGCTTGTCTTGTGGAACGCTACACATGGGACACGTTTTCTTTCATGTCTTTCGTAAACATATGCTAGGCATTTAAGGTTTAATTCGAGACCAAAATACTACTATGTTCGTAATAGGTCAATAACCACACTATCTATGGATAGCATTAGCATTTCACGAGGTTCCCGTTGAGTTATAAATCAAAGGGTTGAACTGAATAGAAGAAATGAATAAATAAATGAATTACACATCCTTTAATTCCCGCTTCGAGTTGAATTCACTGAATGCAAGTGCAAGTGCAAGTGCAAGTGCTATTATCGATGCCGAAACGGCGTAAGATTATGATTCTGCTTATATGATTATGATTGATAGAAGCTCAGCTGTAATTATTCGGCGGTATTGATGTACCTATGCTACAATAGTATTAGTTTTCTTCTAATCTTAAGATTACAACGTTAAGAGGGAATTTAACTCGAGGTGGGAGTGCGTTGGGGTTCTGTTTGGATGCTGGATAGGCGGAGAGGGGTTGGGGTCGGTTGTGTAATTGCTGATGGCTAAGCAGCTGTATGTGGTATATATTGTTATTTATTGGTGGAGGAGGCTCTTTACTTCTAGACGCTGCCATAGGCAGAGTAATCAACAAATAAATAGAGAAAAAACTGGAGTAATTAGGGAATATGTGCATTTTCACGGGATGTAGATAGTCAGTGTTGGACCTTGGGAGCCACTAGCAAACTATTCTATCTTACGAATTTGGTTCAAGATTCAGCGGGGAAGCTAGGTCAAGGTGCGCGTTTGGAAAATTTATTTATAATTCTGCATAGCTATAGGTATTGGGTATTGATCTTGTCTTATATACATATCAGTAACCATAGGATAGCCTAAAGCAGTGTACTTGGCTGCAGGAGGTATTCTACAGCTCGTAAATGATTTAGAGTGGGACAGATATCCTATACTGGGGTTTTCGGGGCAATATTCGAGGTTTGGATTCCTCTTTTGGATGGAGTTATGTTCTACTATAATTATTAATGTTTGTGCATGATGAAGGCATTAGGTGTATCTCATACCAGAACAGGGGTAAATCAATCCAAGTTTACCAGTAGCGAACCGACGTCTTGTGATGGCCAAATCTTTAAAGTTCCAGCTGCTTGAGCAAATCCTGTCGGGACTCGTGAGAACTGCGGAGTCTATCGACTGCAGGTCAAACCGAAACCAAGTAAACTTAACTCGATAGTCACGGCGACGAACAAAGTAGATGTTTCCTCTTCGTTCTTCGAACACATATCTTTCGTCCTGTAATGTGTCGCTGGACGGTGACCGAGTCCATCCATTTAGAGATTACAATTATCGTTCAATTCTGGTTGATTGGAGAGCCTTTTAAATAGCCCACTTCCTCTAATAAACACCTCTCCACTTTCACCAAGAGCAAGCTCTCTGATACAGTCATCCGATAAATATACTTCACCCCCAGCAAACCAGTGCCTGCCAATACTGCTGGTCTCTCCTTTGTTATCCTCAACTATGACGGCATATAAATTGGCAAGCACCGAGCATTCAGAGGGGCCACTGTACATGTGACCAGCCTCAAAGTTAGCATCTATCCCATTCAATATATATATCCAGACCGAATTGAGGATTTGTGCACACTTAATATCCATCATAAAGGTATTCTAAAGCCTATCTTTTAACTTTAACACCAACTCTATAGCCCGTGGATTTGCGGTCTCCTAGCACAAATCACAATATTCAACTTCGAAAATATGCAAGGTGAAGCGAATACGAGTGAGTATGTTGAAAAGAGATGTATGTTAGCGATCAAGAAAGCCGTGACCCTATACCGAAAATACATTTCTCAAATGCGAAGGAGTCTAGAAATATTTCCTGGGAAATAATTTAGAAGCTATTACTACAGAAAATTCTGCTATGAATCGATTTAATATAAGGATTCTTTTAAACTCTAGCTTGCAAATCGACCGCAACACTTGCACGCTGAAGGAGACATACTGGAAGAAACTGAAACTGTGACAAGCAGATTTTGACTCACTATCTACCTAGAAAAAGATCGCCATGAAGACCGGACTTGAAAATTTTTGGTAAAATATTTTCTTGCGGGAAAATCATTTGATATGATATGGAAGAAAGCTTTTTAGAGTAGGATGCACATCCTTTCAAATACCGCTTCTAATGTCCAAAATGTTCGGCAAATTCGGTATCAGACTCTCGGCAGAGGTCGTGTATGAAAATCCTACACTTAAAGGACTTACTCAATCTATTAGGCTTTGAGCAAGCGTAAGGACGGCTTTCCAAAAGCGATGTTACGGATTTGCTGCTTGTTGATGCTTTGGTTTTATCTGGCCTTCAATTATATGGTATATCTTCATCAGTGCTGAACTGGCGGTCTAATATGGAGGGAAAATCCTTTTGACAGGCGCAATGGGTTTCGTTGGTGCTTTCTTACTCAACGAAATTGCGATTGCGCGAATTTCAATTGTTAGTTTTTCTTGTACGTGCCATACATGTCCCATCGGGACTGTCACGTGTTCTCAAATAATGCAAGAATACAATATATGGCAAGCTAAATTCGGACATAAGCTAATTGTTATTGTGGGAGGTCTCAAAAAATCGCAGCTCAGTATGAGCGAAGAAAGCTCTGAGAGATTAACGATTCAGTTAAGTGTCTTCTTTCATCTTGGTGCGCATGTGAGGTCCACTCAGCTTTACTCATTCAGTCAACTGGCGCATGAACTCGGTATTCTTGAGAACTGGAGATTTTCGCGATCTGGTCGAGTGGAAGAACTTCACCATGTCAGTGCTATCTGCATATAACCCCACTCGCGCCATTACAAGAACCACATTATTCATGAGACGAGCCGCCCCTGCAACATTCGAAAGTGGCCTATGACATCGTCTACTCTCAAAGTAAGCGGGTAGCCGAACAAATAGCTTAGCCAGAAATCTCTCTCGGCTTTCCGATTGTTATTTATCGCCCGGGTTTTCTTTTGGGTCATAGTAGCACTGGAACCTTGAGCAAGAACGACTTCATATCTCGATTAATAACTAGCTCTATTGACTCTGGATTTTCTTCTTTATTTTCCCACGAATATGAGGAGTTAATACTGGAGACTTTGTGATCAATTCCACGCTTCATATATCTTCATTTGTCGAAAAGTCTCGCCATGCCTGTAGCTTAGTTCCTGAGCATAGAGAGTTCTTGATCTTATCTCAACTATGCGTCTTGTAACCTCTAGGAGAAGTGGAGGCTATGCTCTGCGGGGAATATCTTATAGGGAATAGGTTGAGAAATTGTGGCAGAGCAAGATACATTCTATGCACCCATGCTTACCCCCGCTAAAGGAAAATGTCTATCAGGACCTTATGTTTTCGGAGCTTTACCGAAACTTAGCAGTTTATGATACGGCAAATACACAAGGTAATCTCCAGGCCTTGTCCCAGCCAGCAAACCTCTGCTCTCAGATGGGAATTTGATCATGCTGTATCTGAAAATGTGGACGGGACGATGACGGAATGAAATAAGGGAATGACTATGCTTCGGCTACTTATTTTGATAGCTAGTTTATGGGGGCCTGGTCAAACTAGCGGAACGAGAGAAAATGCGCAGTAGAATCTAGTAAGCAAGGCTTTTGGCACCTGCTTTATTATATGTGGCAACACTCGAGTAGTCTAATTGCCTGTATTGAAGTCCCAGACGTAAATCAATAAGTAAGTGCTATCAGCTTTTCCCACCCTCGGGTAAGAGGCTTCTATTTGGAACCGTCGTAGTTGTATGAAACTTTAACGTGGAGAGTTCATTGATCGAATGCATATGTGTAATACTTGTGGTGATCCCTTTACTACCATTCTAGCCATGTTTTGCAGCACATTGAGGAACGCCATATGAATGAAGGCAAAGAATGCGTGACCCTTTTGCTTCACAATCATGAGTCTCCAGGATACTATGCATCAGTTCCAGCTAGGAATATTCTTCCCTCAGAACGTAGATCTGCCAATTTGTGAAATTAATCCTAGAGGAAAGTATTACGTTATAGATATTATAAGCACACTGCTTGCAACTTATGTTACATCAGTTGGTTTATTTGCATCAAGCTGTGCGGCCGTGACCGTCCTGCTATTTGATTGCAGAATGCAGCGCTTTCCAAACCTAGGAAGTGTTGTCTTCTGGAGTATTTTCCATACAATCCTACATCAGCAAAGAGCTAAGAAAGGTGCTATGCTAGAATCTGTCCATTGCCACTGCACTTTCGAGCAATGCAGCTTTAGTTCTGAGACATAAGGAAACAAATACATGATGTTTTTTAGAGGGTAGATATTGTAAGCAGTGATTGTGATTTTATTGCGGATAACAGGTATATAAGTTTGTAGTTATTGGTGATAATATTACAAAAATCTAAATATTAAGGAAAAGGGGAAAGAACTCTATATTCTATATTTAGTTATAGGACAGTGTCTGAGCTAGAATTATATAATATTGTTTGGTTTACTGAACTCATACAATATTCAGATTCTTCCTCCATGCTATATCAATGTCCTCCCATCTAAAAGTAGATGAGCAAAAAGCTTGGCCGAAGGTATCATGCACATCACTTCAAAGAACCTACTAGGTAGGTATGCTTCGAACCCTGGCTGCCAATTCACACTGATGATCTCGAGTATACCACCGACCTACCTACCTACCCAACCACCTACCGACTTTTATGCAAAAAATCCTCACAACAACCTCCCCTCAATTCCATCCTCAAACCAAGAAACACACCACACAGAACAAAAAAAAAAAGAACAAACCATATCAAAAACACAATGAAAACACACCAGAGCCACCAAAATCCCCAAAGACAGCACAGACACAAAAAGCAAATCAATCCATCAATGAGTCCACGATATCTCCACAATAGCACCATATGCATATACCCCAACCCATATATTGCGTAACCGCATACTCGCGGATAAGAAAATGCAATATA